CTCCCGTTGTTTTTCCTCTTTTCAGGTCCGTGATATGGCATCTCCTCCAACCCGGTTCGGAAACCCAGTGGAAATGCGAGCCGAGCTCCTCACCGTGATCGACGCCCGGGAGGGCCATGCATACCGTCGAATCACAACCTATGTGATGGTCGACGAAGGCCGTGATGAGTTGGTTGCTCACCCGTACGAGGCGTGGTACCGCCTAGCTCACGGACCCTTGGCGGGTTCAGCGGACCATTCGGTGGATCAGGTGGGTCGGTTCCGGGGCAAACCGGGGGTGGAGCGTGAGATGGCTAGCCGAACGAGGAGCGGGAGGAGCGAGAGGAACGAGAAGCTATAGCGAAGCTAGGAATCCAAGTCAAGTTTTGTTTGTTTGATAGTGGCTTGTGTCGGAACTGTCCTTGGAATGGGCATGAAAAATATGTACATGGCTTGTAAGGGCCCGTAAAGAAGGGTCCGGCATAAATAAGCACCTGACATGTGAATACAACGTGCGATGTTTGCTATATCACTCCTGTTTGTATCGTTTATTGTTTATTTGCTTCCGCATGCGCAATTGATTGTTTAAAATAAACGGGACGAACTAATATATTTCCGCGAGTCACGGGTCCGTTCGGGTCATGTTCGTTCATCAAGTATCGATCGTGATTCCGAGTCGGGACGTGACATCTTTCACCATGGATCGCCTCATGGGTATCGATTTTATATTTGAACTCATACATTTCAAACAAATGATGCAGACAAGCAATCCATGCATAACAAGGGCATCCAAATCATCAATTCAAAAACGTGTCTTGGGATCGACCTTTGTCTTTCATGCATTTCGGTCACCCACCCACTAAATCAATTAACTTTAATTGATTAATGGTTAATGATAATGAGCCACCATTTGCATTCACAAAACGATGACCTATATCACTTAACCCCTAAGGTTGGTCTTAAATGTTCACCATGGATTACTCGCCGAATCATCATGCACCGAGCCTAATCATTCATTTAACAAACACACACATGAGCAATGATTAAACGTGCATTTAGGTCAAATGACCTTATTTCTCAATCAAGCAACCAATGGGAAGTGAGCCTTATGAAGATCACTTATTCAATTGAAATTTGTCAAATTCAGGCAGATTCTGTTTAAATGTGATTAACCCACTAAACGATGTCTAAATGAAATGAATCAGGCACCATTGGAAAGATTAAGAAATGAGGATCAAAGTTCATGAAGACCCCTTCACTTGATTCTTACGCGATTTATCCGAAAATTGGGATTTAACCCAGACATATCAGACTTGACTTGGTTCTGGCCCGAAATTTGAACAAAAAAAGCAGGAAAAATAACAAATTTTATCCAAATGATGCAAAATTTTACAGACAGTTAGGAAAACATGTTCTGAACAACTTTCATGTTTTGAGTTTTCGCTAAAAACCCCTGACCTTTCTCAGAAAATTGATTTTTACCCGGGACTCAGTTGCAAACCTTTTTTCAAAAACAGAAATACCTTATCTGGATTTTTATGAAATTGACCCCCCAAATGTTGTCATTAGGTCCTAAAACTTTCCAGTCGTCAAATCAAGACCCCAATGAAAAACTTTGAAGTTTTGAATTTTTGCATAAAAGGACATCAAGTCTATCAAAATTGCAAAAACACGTTTGGATGCTCAGAGGCTTGAATTTCTGGATCTGAATACAGAATCTAATTAGCACGAAGATCTCGATGTGAGAAAACAAGTTAAGATCTTAGAAAGAATAAGAAGTAACGACAGTCAAAATCAAGTGAAATAGAGAGGTTTCAATGGTTGTTTCAACTCAAGCCAACCACCACAGCCACGTAGAGGAGCTGAGGAAGTCGTCCACAAGGCTCGAGACACCACAGAAGGCCGCCGGATGGAGCTGGAAACCGGCTGGACAGCAGGACCGGCTTGACTGCCGGTGAAGAAACCATAAGGAAAAGCGACCGGATCGGGGCTGTTCGGTGAAGCTCCGGTTAGAGGAGGCTTGCGACTAGCTTGGGGGAGGCTCGAGGCATGTCGGTGAGGTGGTGGTTCGCTGGAGGAAGGCTGTCGAGCGGCTGGTTTGGACGAAGGGAGGCTCGGCCGAGTGAGAGAGAGAGTTCTAGAGAGAAGTGAGAGAGAGTTTATCCTAGAGAGAGCTTTTCAGATTTTCAAATGGCTAACCTCCTTAAAATTTGGAGGGAAAAAGCTTATATATCCTATTTAGTTTGAATTATGGCCCTTAGATTAATTTAATGGCTCTCCCTGATTCCTTAATGGCTAAGGTCATCTCCCATTGGTTAAATTTGGATCACTTGAATAAGTGACATGGCAAGATGGATGGCCAAGATAATTTGTTTAGTCATTAAGGAAATGCTCTTATTGGCTTAAATTGGATGACATGGATTGGTGACATGGCCTTTAAGGGCATTTTAGTAATTTCTCAAGGGGCATTTTGGTAATTGTTGGATACAAGGGAGAGGGCTTGGCCGGCCAAGCCTTGGAGTGACTGGACATGACTGGAAATGATCACTTTCCGGCCATCCTTGTCAGACGTGTGGCTCGCGCCGATCGAGCCGGTTCAATTGCAAGACTTTTGTGCAATTTAATCCAATTTGCTGTTTGGAGGACCTAATCGCAAAGAATTTGTGTCCAATTATCAAAGGAACGGATCAAATTGGAATAAAACAACCCAAATCCAAACAATTAAACTCAATCAAACTCATTTCCAACATCTTAATTGAATGAATTTGTTCGAATTACATCATGGGTAATGCCAATTTCATCTCAATTGATTTGTCTCGCACAAATTGGGGATTTTCAATCAATTGATGCAATTTGTGTAATTTTGTTCCCAATTTGCGAAATTGATTTCAATTAAATACAATTGACTTGAAAGAAAATCAATTAATTCAATTGAATAGGTCTAAAACACTTTAATGCACTCAAATTGACTTTCACATAATGACTTGAATTAAAATCCAAAACGAAATTGAAGCTTAATCATTAAATTGAAGCTCAATTCATCAAATTAACCTCTAGATAGGAATGGGTCAAGTTGAATTGCATCAATTGGACCAAACTAACTCAATTTCGCAAGTCTTTGGCTAGCTAAATTGATGAAATTAACTTGAATTCATGTGAATATGTCAAAATTGATGTTGGATTTGAGTTGCATATAAGAAATTGTACTCATCTGCAGTTTAATTGCGCAAATCATGAAGAACCGGCCGGAACTCTTGATTAGAGCCTAAATTGGGGTTTTCTAATATTTGGCTTGGAATTCTAAAATTGGTTGGAAAATCGAATGTAAAACGACCTCTAGATCAATTGTTGTGAATGAAACTATCTTAGAAAATGACTAGAAACAAAGTAATTTCATTTTTGGCCAATTTGAACCAAAATCCACGAATTGGGGAAAGTTGGTTCTAAACCGATTTTGTAAAATTGATGATCCCAAAGTGAAATTAAGGTAAAAATGAGTTGATTTAGGGGTTTTCAATTTTTTTGCACAAAGTATTGACCAAAAGTCAGCATTTTAGTAATTAAACACTAAAATGTCAATTAATGGGTCAAACTTCGATTTTTTCGAAAATTGACAATGTAAAAGTGAAATTGACACTATTTTGGGGTTTTTCATGCAAAAAACTAAATTTTGACTTAGGATTGAATTTTCGGTCAAAATTTAACAAAAAAGTTTACTCGAAAGTCAACGTTTTGGCTTTTTTAAGACAAAGTATAAAAAGCTTGGAAATGAAAGGTTAATATTATAAAAAGTGTTAAATGACTCTTTTTGATTGAGAAACAAGTTCTGTCGCTATTAGAAACCCTAATCTCAATTTTTTTTTATCTTTTTAAGATGCATCAACTAAAAATCATGCGTCAATAAGTGGGAATAAAAGAGTAAGAATATCTACAGTTACATCCGAATTACTGTCACAAGCAACAATTGCAGCTTCTACGATTGAGTCTTTAGTTACTGTTTGTCCTTCAGCAGACTTTAGCAAGGTGACCACATTATTGCACGAGATCGTTACTCTGTGAAGATCTCCATCCGGGATTATTATGTGCAGGGTGCTTAACAAGGAGAGAGATTTATATATAGAGGGGTGTTCAACAATGAGAGAGATTTGTCTAGAAATGTTATGCAGTCCGTACCATGGGCAAGTTCTTAATGCGTTGATACGTACCTGGCATTGTATTGGATTTAGCATAGGGTGTACTACGCGTATTTTCAATTTTACAGTGCCAGTTTACACATTTGGGGAATGTTTATAGAATCGGCCCGTGAACTTTGGCTTCAATGTACGGTTTGCCACATACTTTATTCTAGTCAAGATGATTTGAAAATTATTTTATGGCGTTCGATATCGTTCTTATGCAAGCATTTTGAGTCGGTAGAGTATAGTTTCATGGTAAGTCAACTTTGCAAATCTCTATTCGAAAGACCTGAATTCGAAATTCGTGTCTCGTCCCGACCCCCTCTCTCGCCATTAGGTCGAGCGCCTGGTGGTCGATTCGTGTCACATTGGCAAGGTAGTCGCATGCGGAAAATACATCAAATTTTGCCCCAAATAGCTCTCCAGTCTCTCTCCTTTACTAGGTTCAGCCATCGTGGATTCGATTGACAAACCAAATCCACAGCGTTAAAGCTATCTACCACTCTAATTCCTTTCCATAAATCTCTCTCGAATGATTAGCCACGTGACGTTTTGCTCGGTTGAATCATATGTCCACATCATCGAACTCCGATCAATGTTTACCGAGAGTCGAATCGACCGGTCCAAAGGGCCAAATGCCGAGAACGTAATGAAATAGTCGGCGGGGTCGAATCGAACAAACACGGAAATATGCGGCATCACATTTAGCACCGAATCGAAGTTCTGCAACTGTACACAAAATTTTTTTTCTTAAAGAGATAGAAATTCGAAAATAAGGGAAAAGGAGAGGGGCGCCTCGTCGGCAAACAGTGAGAAATTGCATGAAGTGGCGCAATTTCATTCGACGACCTTATCAGCGGCGAAGCAGCCACCGTGGGCGACGCTGCGCGCAAATGTTCCCTCGTCTTCCTCGAACTCGATCTGTCTCTCTCTCTCTCTCTCTCTCTCTCTGTCCCTGCAATTTCTTGTCTGCGATTCAGGTGAACTCCATGCCCTCTTTCGTTGTCTTCTGCGCAGCTCGGTGTCTCAGTTCTCGCTTCCGATCGGTAGTTTCGGTTCCCTTGGATCTGGTCGTTGTCGCGAATTCTGGGTTCGATTTAGGGACCGATTATAGGGATTCGGGATTCGTTTTTGAATGCTGCATGATTTGATTACCGCTGTTTTGGGATGTCCGCTGCTTCATTTGGGTGATTCTCGTTTCGGCGGTATTGAAATTCGTTGATCTGGGATCTTGACGGATGGAGGGTAACAAAGACGAAGCGTTGAGGTGTGTAGGATTTGCCGTGGAGGCGATCGTCGCGGGCAACAGAGAGCGCGCCCTTCGGTTTATCAGAATCGCGCGGCGCTTGGACCGTAATTTGCCCGTTTCTGTGCTGTTGGACCAATGCGACAAGCTCGGTCTTGGTCCGGAGGAGGCTCCTGCTGAAAAGAAGCCTCTTGATGATGAGAGCAATAAGGAGCCGGGTCCTGGTAAATACGACGGAGGTTCGGATGCCGGGAAAAAGAAGTATGGCGAAGAACATGTTCAACTAATCGGGCAGATTAAGCGAACGAGGGATTATTATGCGCTTCTGGGATTAGAGAAAGGTTGCTCCTTGGAGGAGATTAAGAAGGCTTATAGGAAATTGTCGCTGAGAGTGCATCCCGATAAGAACAAGGCGCCGGGTGCGGAGGAGGCCTTCAAGAAAGTGTCCAAAGCATTTAAGTGCTTGAGTGATGATGGGTCGAGGAGACAGTATGATCAGACTGGTTTTGTTGAGGAATTCGAGCATAATCAGCGGCGTAATGTGAGGCGGAGGAGGAGAAGAACTGGAAATGACTTGTTTGGTGATGATTTTGACCCGGATGAGATATTCAGAGGCTTCTTCCGTCAGGAGGATCCTTTTAGGACATCTCATGTTTATAGGACGGGGAGAGCGGGTGGTTACCGGAGAGAGGACTCCGATGTAGGAGGATTTAGCCTTATGGTTCTTTTGCAAATTTTACCATTCTTGATCATCCTTCTGCTCTCATATCTGCCCTTTACGGAGCCTGAGTACTCGTTGTTCAAGAATTACGCCTTTGAGGTCTCCAAGGCAACTGAAAAACATGGAGTGGAATTTTTTGTCAAATCATCTGCATTCGATAATAATTATCCACCGGGAAGTCCTGCTCGAGCTAACATTGAGGACATCGTAATCAAGGATTATAAAAGTATGCTTTTCCGTTACTGTCATATAGAAAGGCAAAGACGTCAATGGAATAAGAATCTGCCGACTCCTAATTGCAATAAGCTGCAAAACCTTGGTGTAGCATGAAGGTAAGACAATGTGCTGTCTTCAACTCTGCAATAGATCTACCGCATGACTGTCTAGTGCCTCTTTAATGTCCAACTTATTTGTTTGAATTTGGCCAACTATATTCATCTTCACACCTTCACATTCTCGTGCATAATGTGCTCTGATATTGGCTCCTATTGCTAAGTATTTTCAATGCTGGTTTTGTTATGTCATCATCTCTTTTGCAGGACTCATCATAAGAAAAACTGGTTATGTAAATGCCACACATCAGGATTTAAATTTCCAGCAAATCTTTTTATTGCAATTGTAGGGAGTCAGCCCAGCATGCACAACAGGAGCCCTTTTGAATGGTACAAGTGATGTCTATGTCCCATGCAATAGCTAATAAGAGCTATGCAGCAACCATTTTTCTCAATGAATTTGGAAATTAAGTGTATTTACTGATGTTTGGTTTGCTTCCAGTGTTCGTTTGCATGTAGAGGTATTGAATAGTGAACATGTAGGTTGTAATAGAGTTGGAAAACATACGGTTAGAAGTCCTGAAAACTAAACTAAGCATTGTGGGCTTTCTGTGCTGGTTTTTTCTTGCTTTAAGCCTGCATGGCTTGTCTGGTGGCAGTCGTGTGTGATTGATCAAAGAATTATGAACTGTGCACTTGTGTGCGTTCAGCTTTGGGAACTATAAAATATTTACCGATGGTTTGTTCGCTTCCTGTATATCTTTGATAATGATTGTGGTAAGTTATAGATGCAATTTTATAATGGAGTATGAAGGCTTGAGGTTAAGTCCTGAAGACTAATGAGATATGGATTTCCTGTGCTGATCTGTGTTTCGTCTTTAGCCTGCATGCTTTTTTGGTGGTAATTGTGTCTCTTTGTTTGTGGGTGAGTTTAGTTTCCTTTCTGATATCTCATGATATTGCCACTGGTTATTGGTTGTATGGCCAATCTTGTATTTGTGTCTAGTATTGTATTGTATCATTCGTATCTTGTGTAACATATTGATGGCATATTTTCTGTTCAATGGAATCATGTCATTTCTCTCACTTGTTGAGCATCTACGTAGTCATTCTTACTGAGCTAAGTTAATGGACAGAGTATGAGATTAAATGGGACGAAATGAACATGAATCTGGACTGGATATTGCAGCTGCTTAAAGTAAACTCCAAGTTTCAAGTATCCTCACCCATAATCTTCCCAAATCCAATAGAACTTGTCTATGCGTCCATCAAGGGAAGTTGCAACACGAGAAGGGTTCCCAGGTTCTTGATACTAAATTGTTTTATACTCCAATAGAATTCGATAATGCTTCTTGTGGCTCCCAAAAATGTTGATCCATTGGGAATAGTTGCCAAAGTTATTTTAAGTGCCGATTGTATCTTATATGTCCGATGTAAAATCGTCCCCTGTTAATAAAATGTCTTTCATGAGTGAAGCACAAATAAGATAACTGTATCTCCTGTAATGCGGTTGACTTTCACGTCATTGTCCTGCAGTTTGTTTTTGGATGCAGGAAAGTTGCAGCTGGGCCATTTATAAGTGAGGTAGGTTTGTAATTTGCATCTTTCTGGGTTTCTTGTTACTGAACGGCGATTTCTTTGGCTTCTAACTGGGCACAGAGAACCCCTCTGATATAATCAAGGATTCGTGGAAGAAATAGGAGATTTGGGGCATGATGCCTCATCTTTGGGTGAGTGGTTACCTAAGGCCAAGAATTTGTTGTTAGAAGCAAATTGCGTCACTTTAAGTCATAATCAAAATAGGCGAGACCTTATGATGTTTATAAGTAAGATTCACTCATACATTGTAATTATCTAATGTGAAAACTTAAGTTCTCCTTTTGGATACTTTGCCCTCGTGGATTGGGCAGGATCGTTACTGGTGATATTAGCATAGGATTCTTTCCAGCAATTGTATGTTTTGTGAATGGAATAAGTTCAGACTTGAGAGTGATCGTTGGGGCAAGAGGGATCAGATAAGGTATGATTCCTAACTAGCTTCTAGGATGGCGAGATGGATTGGATAAGGTGCGACTCCATATCGCTCAGCGATACGGGCCAACATTGATGAGGATGTCGCTTTTTAAAGTCAGGAAGTTTGGGACCATTCCAAAGTCTATAGCGGATGGGTGGTGCCCTACTAAAGGGTTTATAAGTAATATCCACTCTAAATGTCGCCAGCTTGGTGTGGTCACTTGACTATACCATTTGAGGACTTAGCGCACGTGGAATGGAACGTGTCGGTAAAGATGGTATCGGTTTACGACCACCTCTAATTGATCTCTACTGCTTATACAAACTATGCCCATATCTGAGTTGCATGAGGGTGGGCGTGATGACCGGGTCAAAAGGGTTTCGATATGGAGCGGGTCCAGGTGGGTGTCGGATGGTCAATTTTTATTCACAGATTTTTAACCCGTGTGGTCGAGAAGTGCACGATTCTTGACCAGGCCATTGCTCACATAGTGACTTGGCACAAACTGAGACAACACCATCAAAGCACGTTCTCATGCGTCACCAGTACGAACTCAGGGACGCACACAAGGTGTTAGAATGCACAAGTTACTGTAATACATAGAACACTATTTCCAAAGTAGCACAACGATTACAATGTCTTCTTCTTTGTGGCAATTGCGCGCGCATGCACATTGGCCACTACAGCGTCCCACACTCTCAGCCATGCTCGATCCAACTCGTGTCATGACCAAGCCAACCATTCCAGCCAAAGCCTTGTCTAAGCATGCCCCGACTTGCGCTTTCGATCCTTGGCCAACAAGCATAAGTCCCAGCATGTGCCTAGCTTTGGGATGTCGAGAAACTCTCCAATCTAGAGAAGTGCCATCCTCATCCATGTTGGTTCGTATCGGTCCAACGATATTTTCCCAATACAATATTGATTTGGTTCATTACTACCCTTTATGTCGTCTTAGTAGCCAGCTAAGAGCCACACATTGCCGGGGGAATGTTGATTTGATTCATTACGACCCTTTCCATCGTCTCAAGAGCCACACCTTGGCTGAGCCTTTTTGGCTCGACAATCACGACCCTTGTTGGATCGGCTATGGGCCTAGTCCGTCTATAAACCATGCATATGCTGGAAACGGTCCAGCTTCAATATCCTCGATAATGAACCGACCACATCAACGTAGGCCAAGTGCCCACGACATAGTGACTATTTGAGAGTGGATTTTACTTATGAATAACATCATAAGGTGTTGGCTTTTTGATTTTCGTTCGCAAATTGTTGATTATATTATAGGGGGTTCTCTGTTGCCTAGTCCAACAAGCCAAGGAAATCACGGTCCTATAACGTGTCTTACTCAAGCAATTTTATAAGATATAATTAGACCTTTTATTTTTCTCAAACATTCAAACACAAGTCCTATCTCTATCATCATCCAACTTCATCCCTGGTCTCTTTCTTCAGACTGAACCATGAAGTCTTCTATCGGACCCGCGTTGCTACACCACAACACCCATCGCCTGGAAACCACGTTGGTCACCCATATATCACTTTAGGGAGAATTATACTTTTGGTCCATGTATTTTTTGGAAAATTCACTTTGTTCCATATAGTTTTTATTTGTCACAACTCCTGTCCTTAAAACTATTTTCTGTCAATGATTGGCATCATCAAATTTTCGTCCACTATTTTCAACGTAATTGTCGTGTTAGCATTGGCTACTCGTACGTGTTTCTACTTACACAAGTCTTTATGTAGAAATTATACTTTTGATCCCCAACTTTTGGGGATGTTCAACTTTAGTCCTTTTTCTTTTGGTTTAGTGACAAAAGGCGTGATGGTAAACAGCTCATCAAGCGATTTCAATACAGATGACAATCAAATAATCATGGTAATTCTTGAAATATTAATATACTGATTTTTCCCATGTATAATTATTCAAATTATCTGAATGCTAGTTAAAAACATGAGAATGATAAACGGAGAATTCTTATTATTGGAATATTACCAATATTTGCTAATAAATTTAAAAAACAAAACAGAAAAATAAATTTTAGATAGCAAATATATGCTTTCGTAGAGTACCTTTTTCTCTCTCCAAAACTTTATTTTCCCGTGAAAGCGAAAATATTTCTTGAAATTCTGAAAAAATTATGGAAAAAATGCGCTTGACGCCAAACTTGACTATTTGTACAAAAAAAATAAGAAGCATATTTTTTTCAAATTATGTAAACCCATATATGAATTTACTTATGGAATGTGATGGTTACTTTGAAATCTCTTTTTTCGGTTAATTTTTTTCAATTTGGAGCAACACAAGGCATATGAACTCTTGACGTCCTAGTCCTAACTCCTAAGCCTCGTATGGTTAGGAAAAGAAGACAAAGATGAAGGGCATGAGGATTGGAAGGGACTTTGAGCCTATCGAATAGTTATGTTGACTTCATTTGTTTCGCGAAAAATAAATTATTTGAAAAATATATTTTTTAAAATAATCGTTTGTATCGCTTATAAAAATGAATAAACGAAAAATATTTTTATCATCCATGAAAACATTTAGACATAAATTGTTATTGACGATGAAAATATTTTTTATTAACTAATTATTTCAAGCGAGACAAACGATCATTTTTAGGAAAATAAACACAACCTAAGTCTGTATTTTTTGTACAACATATATTCGGTATTATGTTTTTATTGTTCTGTGGAAATCATGGGGATAATATACTGCTATATTCGACGTGATGGTATATACGTCTTCATGTGCTTTATCATTAAATCTATGAAATATTTAAATTATCAAATTAAATTGGTAAAAATTAAATATAAAAATACAAAAAAAAAAAAGAAAGTAGTCAAAGGAGACAAAATTTGTTCAAACTTATCTGAAATAATTTGGTCGCCACAGCTCCGTTGTTGTTGGTAATCCATGGGGACGAAATCTAGTTCGTCCTGTCCCGTCGGAATATCTATAGCGGCAAATCTCTTTTGGTCCCTATCGATCGTCTTGGATTACTACGATGACAAAAAAGGTTACGACGACGAAAGTTAATTCCATCGAAAGTTGGGTATCGACGGCAAGGAAACGTACGTTTCCATCGACGACACAGGCTGACGCGGCGAACTTTTCATGACGAGAGTTTTCGCCGCCGCTGCTGTTCGCGACGAAAACTTCAGATCCACGGCGATAAATTGCCCCGTCGCGTAGAGCAGATATCTTATGCGGTGGGTGTGTGCTGACCGGCTTGTGAGACACTACAAAGGGGTAGGTGTGGAATGCTTGCTGGGATGGTCATTCTCCGCACGGAAAATTATCAAAAAAGTCTTAAAATTATTGCGATCGTACCAATTCAATCTTCGAGCTTTTTTTTAACAATTGAGTCATAAACCTTTTACATTCATGTCAATTCAGTCCATCCAGCCAATTTTGATCGAAATTCACCGACATGAATGTTGGTTGTCCTACGTGACACGGTCGACTCTGACATGGACAATTTTAATAAATTATTTATTTCTTTTTTCTTTTTTATTTTCTTGTCTTTTGCCTTTTGTTTCTCTTTATTTTTTTTCTTCCCTTTACCCCATAGCTGGTCCTCGGATCTCGGTAACCAGCTAGAGGCAAGGGCGAGCCTCACCACGGCTAGGTAAGGCTTGACCTCGCCTAGAGACGGCGAGGGCGAGCTCGCCAATGGCTAGCGAGGTCGACCTCCTTTGCACTCGCCTTTGGCCAATCGCCGAGGTCCGACGACCGGCTAGAGGAAGAAGGGAAGAAAAAAAACAGAAATAAAAAGAATAGGAAAAAAAGGAAAAATAAATAAATAAATTGAAAAAATATTAAAATACTTTAAAATTTGTCCACGTCACTGCTAGCCACGTCGGACAATCGGTATCCATATCGGCAATTTTCGTCCAAAATGAGTCAGATGAACTAAATTGGTATAAATGCAAAAAATCTAGGACTCAATTGGTAAAAAAAAAAGTTATAATTGAATTGATACAATTACAATAAGTTGAGAAATATTTTGGTAATCCTCCCTTCCCCACGTATTCTGCGTTAGAAGCTGATGCACATATGAGACCACATTGATGATTGATGTAATTGCTATTTGTCATTAATATGAAGCCAGCAGTTTTACACCAAAAAGGAAAAAAAATGAACCTTTTTTTCCCAATGGAAACTTGATTGAGACCGATGTTGAAACTAAACAATTTTTATTTTTTTTTTGGCCATCCCCACATCTATTTAGGCCTTTATCTGAAAGTTGCTCTAAAAAAAACTGAAAAACTGCTCAAAATTCACTCTTTTTAGGAAACAAACTCTTTGAATCTATCCATGATATATTCAGATTGCGTGGAGCAATGTAATAAGGAGAGATGGAAAACATACCACTTTCTTGAAATGAAATCTTATCGTGTATATATATATAACGAAGAAGGCTTTTTCCAATTAATGATGTGAGCAGTTTTGTAATTAGCCTTGGTCGTGAAAGTACTTTCCAAATATTATTATTAATAAACTGGGTTTTTGTGCATTGATGATGTGTAGTGAAGTAATTACTCAATTTTATTTCGATATGCTTAAAAGTGTAATTTATAATCTAAATCTAAATTAAGTGTATTTCTTCATTTCATTGAGCTTTCACAAACTTTCACACTTGTTTTATGGGAAAATGACACAGACAGTTCCTGAACTTTGACTCAATATGCAATGTGGTTCTTGAATTTTTAAATTGTTCAATGTGGTCTCTAGACTTTTTGTGCATATTTCATTTAGTTCAATGGACTCTATGGACATATTTAATATTGTTCCTGAACTCAAATTAATAGAAGGATAACGTTGAACATTTTCATATAATTCAGAATCTAAATTGAATAAGTACCAAAGGTTCAAGAATCACATTGAACATTAGGCTAAAGTTCACGGACTACATTGAACAAACTAAAAGTTGAGGAATCACATTGCATATTAGATTAAAGTTTAGGAACTGTTTGTGTTATTATCTCTTATTTTATTGTACAAATTGGGTCCATTATTAACTGGGAGAAATTTTGCTTTTGTTTATTGCTGTCACCCCAAGTTAATTTTGGAAGGGAAAGGCTGGCGCTTCATTTATAGTGTCCTCCTCATGTTAAATGCACTCCCAATAATAATGACACATAAAAGTAATCATTCTTTCTCTATTTCTTCCTTTATCAACAAGGCTCTGCCCCCCACTTGTCCCCCTCCTTTTGACACACACGGTCCAAAAAAATTATCCAATTAATTTTAAATTTATTATACCGATATCAATTTAATCTTAAATTGTTAAATTTTATCAATATTAATCTTAAACCTTTGTGCAAGTTTCTTATGTAGTTCTTCATAGGAAATCGCTGACGTGGCGGTTCAATTCACCAATCGTCCAAGGAGCTTCTTCAGGCAAATTTTGTTGCAAAGCTCCTATTAGTAATCAAAAGATAAATCTCAATGCTTTCCCTAGAATCTTATTATGGCATCAGTTGTAAATGTCTCGATTATTTCTCCAAAACAATGCCTTCAAAGAAAGAACTCTACCATTGTGTTTTGATAGAAAATTCCATTGGAATGAGAAAATAACTCTTTCCTCTTTTCTTTCTATTTTAACTTTGATGAGTTATAAAATTTTATTTTATAATATAGATGCTAATTCATGAACATCATCAGCATTGTATATCCTTTTCTCCTCGTGATGAACCATTTACTCAATTGGTCATTCTTATTAGAGATTTTCTTAGAAAAGCTAATGTAGAACCATCACTTTTTTCCGTAAGTATGTAACAATGAAGAGGAAAACAAATCCGCGCAAAGCATGGGTAGTAAAATTAGTATACAAAATTCTGACAAAAAAAATTAGTATACAAAATGAAATCGAGTTTTGGACTTTTGTAATTGGTGCAATTAATTCCTTTGACTTAATTGAAAAATCAGATCTTATATATGTACTAGACTGCCTAAGTGCCTCTAGACATAGATAATACGCAATTGGCACGTTCGTAATTACCAATATTGACAATAAGATGGACTTGATTGCACCTTTTAAAAAAAATTCAAAATTTGAATGAACTATATTCCCTGGAGTTAGGCCTTATTTGGTTCATTTTATTATTGGATGATTTACAGAAAGAGAATACCTATGCTAAAAGTTTTCATGATTATAAGATCCAAGTTCAAGGTAAAAGCTGTATGCAAACATAGAAAGTCCTAGCATTACGATTTACAATCTTCAACTAATTTGCGAAACACAAATGAATTAAACACATCAGCCTATGAAAACTATTTTTGGAAAATTATTTTCCGACCTTTCAGTGTTTGGATGACGGAAAACTGATCAATTTGTAGAATAATTAGATTAATTGGGGAAAAACGACTTCCCTTCTAGTAAGAGGAAAATCAACCACCAAACAAAATAGAAATAACCATTTTCCTTAAAAATGATTTTCGCGAAAATATTTTTTTTATCGTGAAGTTTTTAGTGAAATAACGCACCCTAAGCTAGTAAACATATTCATGTATTATATAATATTTTTCAAATATAGTGGAAAAGACAAAAAAGTGGAATTAACTCCGGCTTGATGACATCCTAAGCATGCAGGACAATTCTGAAGATTCCTTTAATATCATGTTTATTTGAGTAGAGGACCAGCTACTTTCAGTTATGCTGCATGTCTTTAACTTGGACACATTTTCTTTGGTTTTTTTCTATATTCGAGATTAAAAGTTATCTAGAAGCTCTTAGATAATTTATATTTCGAATTTAAATTTAGTCAGCGGTATATTTGAGCCATAAAGTTTAGTCGCCCGGCATGTCTTCGGGGAATAACAATATTCAATTCGATTCGGGGCCACGACACCCTTCATATATCAAAGACACGGCCCATCGTTAGCCATTCCCTTCTTCGCTCGACAGCACTCGATCAAACACCATAATTTCCAACCCGTCTTTTCCTTTCTAACCATCTCTACCGAGCAGTATCTAGAGGCGCATCATATTCACGGCCTGAACATCTCGCGACGATTCCACTCAACGGGGCCCGCGATCGCGAGTTCCAAGCCTCATTCCGAATCGATTTTTTTCCCAACCAGCAATAATTCGAGCCGAAAATGCGATTAATTTCATCTGATCCGAAGCATTAATTCTTCCTACCAAAAGAAGGTAAAAAATGAAGCATCGATCGGAACCGAGCGGCTACAAAGAGGCAAAACTCCGTCGTTCAACAGTCAACGGTCATTTACCCGAAATACCAGTAATACCCTCCGCACATCCCAGTAATTACAGAATCGCCCCTACTACTGTCCCATACCAACCCCCCCTACTCTCTACGCTTATAGAAGTATACCACACGATAAAAAGTAAATTCAAACGAAAAGAAAATTGCAAGAAAGATGAGATCCGATCCGATCCGATCCGCTCCGCTCCGCTCCGGCGGAGATCTCGGCTCACTCGTCGTCGTCGCCGCCGCCGCCGAAGATGGAGACGCGGCTGTACAGAAGGAACAGGAGGAGGGCGAGGAAGAGGGCGACGCCGACGGGGGACCCGCTGACCCGGTGGATGCTCTCGGGCTCGCCGGAGCTGGAGAAGATGGCCGACACGAAGGAGCCGCGGTCGGAGGAGAGGAACTGGATGGTGAGGAGGAGGGCGATGGGGAGGAGGAGGAGACCCACCGGGGTCAGCATCTCGGAGATGGCGCCCGTCACGGCCTCGCCGCCGTCGCCGGCGAGGAAGGGGACGGCCACCACAATGCCGACCACCACCGCCAGGAGGACGCCGTGCGGCGGCCGGGATCCTCCGCCGCGCCGCTCCTCGATCATCGCGTGGGTTTGGCTTTCTTTTCGCAGGGTTTTTGCGGTGGGCGTTCGGTCGAAAGTGAGAGAGCTAAATGGCGTGCGGACTTGAAACTCGTAGGAGGAAGGACGCTTTTTAAATACGAGTGGGACGCGCTTGGCCTCCGAGACTTTTTTTCGTTTCCCTAGGTTTTTTTTTTATTTTTTATTTTTATTTTTTACTTTGGTCGTGGAAAATTTGGGGATTCGGATTTTTTTTTGGATTTTTAACGTGAAATAGTTAAGAGATAATGACACAAATGATTCCTGAATTTTGGTCGAATATGCAACGTGGTTCCCGAAATTTTAATTTGTTTAGTCCATGAGTTTTGCCCCGACGTGCGATGCGGTTCCTAAACTTTTAATTTGTTCAATATGATGCCTGAACTTTCGGTACATATTCAATTTGGTCCTTGAATTATATGAAATTGTTCGATGTTATCATTCCATTAAATATTTTCATATAATCCGGGGACTAAATTGAATATGTACAGAAAATCTGGGGACCACATTAAATAATTTAAAAGTTCAGGAACGACATTACATATTGGGTTAAAGTTCAAGGGACCATATTGAACAAATTAAAAGTTCAGGGATCTCGCATTGTACTTTAGGCCAAAATTCAAGGACCGCTTATGTCATTTTCCCGATGATTAATTTAGATGGACGAAAATATCATTCTTAAAAATAAAGAAACTTCTATTTTATGGCAATGCGAGATTTTACTCGATTGCGACCATGGGACACCTTTTCTTTTTCTTTTCTGCTCGATTTCATGATTTTGGGTGTCGGCCAATTTTATCAAACATCCTACTAAATGTCATCGGATCTCGAATTTTCCCAATATTACAAGTGGTGATAGGACATCTACTATGGTCCCAAGGCACAAAGTAAATATCATCACTGCTTAGGGTGTGTTGTGTTCGCTTAATTAAAAAAAATTTCACGAATTGGTTTTTCGGGTTTTTATATGTTTGGTTTGCTAAACATTATTAGTCAACAAACCATATATGGTCAAAAAGAATATGCGCGCTCAAAATTAGGAAAAAGAATTCCTTAATCAGAAAGGGGAACACATATTCTCATAATGAGAATATCATTTTTCTTTTATCATTAAATTTTTTCTTAAGCAAATGCACATACATTTAGACCCAACTATTTTTTCTCGTAAGCAATTCGATAATAAGTTGTAACATATTCATTAGTATATCAAATGGGACGCTTTACAGCATCTTCTCTTTTTGGACGTGTTGTTACGACCCGTGTACCATACTTTATTCACTAAGTCGCCTTGGTTGCCGCTCCGAAGCAGACCACCAATATATATGTGTACTTTCTTGTAGCCTATTTTTAAAGTCATTGCTATTATTTATCCCAAAAAAAAAAAAATCTTTACTCGGCTTTTCAATAACGATACCTGGCCAATTTTCTGCCACGTCGACATCTCGTTGAATTCGACCAAAAGAAAAAATATATCTTGCTGAAAAATTGTACCATGTTCCAATCAAAGTAGGTCAATTTGAAAGTTGAGTCCACAAAAAAGATTGAAATCAAAGCGCAGGGACCCGACTCCAAATTTTATTTATTTATTTTATTAAAGTTCAGTGATCTCCGATGAAACTTACACGAAATGTAAGAAGTGATGAAGCACTCGATTTGGATGATAAACGGGTACCAATTAGCGCGGATAGTGCAGCCTCAAATTTCTTTTTTTCTTTTTGAGGACTTTCTTTTAATATTCCTAAATCCTTTGATTATATAAATGGTTAATATCACGAAAAACCCCAAATTTATATACTTATGACAAATTTACCCCAAATTATTTTTTTTATAGCGAAAAATTCCGAACTGGTACGCATGTGACGGATTTACAACGAACTAATTTTTTACCGGAAAAAGCCCTAAACTGGTACGCCCGTGACAAGGGAAAAGTGCCAAAAAAGTCCTAAACCTTTTGCATTAGTGCCAATTTAGTCCTAAACCTTTTTTTGGTGCCAATTCAGTCCTAAACCTTTTGCATTGGTGCCAATTTAGTCCTAAACCTTTTTTTGGTGCCAATTAAGTCCTAAACCTTTTAAATTGGTGCCAATTCAGTCCTAAACCTTTTATTTTTGTGCCAATTTAGTCCTTCCGGTCAATTTTGACCGGAATTTGCTGACGTGGACGCCTGCCGGCCGGGCCGGCATCCACCGGCGCCGACGTGGACAAATTAAATAATATTTTAATATTTTTTTGAATTTTTATTTTTTTCCTTTTTTTTCTTTTTTTTTTCCACTTTTTTTTTTGGTTTCTTCTTCATCTGGCCGGTCGCCGGTCCGGCTACCGGCCAGAGGCCAATGGCCGGCGAGCTCGACCTCGCCGGCAACTAGGGAGGGCGGCCTCGCCCGGCGAGGCTCGGGCCGAGCCTCGCCATGGTCGGGCGTGGCTCGACCTCGCCGGATCTGGCAAGGTCGAGCCTCGCCCAGCCGCCGGCGAGGCCCAACCTCGCCGGATCCGGCCAGGTCGTGCCTCGCCTAGCCATGTCGAGGCTCGAGCCCTCGCCGGGAGGCTGCGGCAAGGGGCGAGCCTCGCCCGACCATGGCGAGGCCCGACCTCGCCGGAGGCCGCGGCGAGGCGAGCCTCGCCCGACCATGGCGAGGCCCGACCTCGCCGGAGGCCGCGGCGAGGGCGAGCCTCGCCCGACCATGGCGAGGCCCGACCTCGCCGGAGGCCGCGGCGAGGGCGAGCCTCGCCCGACCATGGCGAGGCCCGACCTCGCCGGAGGCCGCGGCGAGGGCGAGCCTCGCCCGACCTCGCCGGATCCGGCGAGGTCGAGCGTCGACCTCGCCGGATCCGGCGAGGTCGGGCCTCGCCCTCGCCGCGGCCTCCGGCGAGGGCTCGAGCCTCGCCCGACCAAGGCGAGGCTCGCCCTCGCCGGCCTCGGCCTCGGCCGTCGCCGGACCGGCGACCGGCCGAGTAGGAGGAAGACAACCAAAAAAAAAGTGGAAAAAAAAAAAAAAAAGGAAAAAAATAAAAATTCAAAAAAATATTAAAAAAATATTAAAGTTGTCCACGTCGGCGCCGGTGACCGGCCGGCAGGCATCCACGTAGGCAAATTCCGGTCTAAATTGGCCGGAAGGACTAAATTGGCACAAAAACAAAATGTTTAAGACTGAATTGGCACCAATTTAAAAGGTTTAGGACTTAATTGGCACCAAAAAAAGGTTTAGGACTAAATTGGCACAAATGCAAAAGGTTTAGGACTGAATTGGCACCAAAAAAAGGTTTAGGACTAAATTGGCACTAATGCAAAAGGTTTAGGACTTTTTTGGTACTTTTCCCCCCGTGACAAATTTACCCTCCGTTATCTTTCGTCAAATTTTACCGTTAAATTTGCCGCGTGGATGACGCATGATGACGTGGTATGGTGACATGGTATCCACGTGAAAATCCATAGGATAAATATCACGAAAAACACCAGACTAATATACTCAATTTATCACAAATGTATCAGTTTGGATTTTTTCGTCATATTTATCCGTTGGATTTTCATGGGGACTTGCCACGTCACCATATCATGTCACCATGTGTTATCTATGTCAGCAAATTTAACGGTAAGATTTGACGGAAGCTAACGAAAGGTAAATTTGTCACGTGTGTACCAGTTCAGGGTTTTTTATGGTCAAAAGATTAGTTTGCTATAAATCTATCATACATGTACAAATTTCGAATTTTTCGTGATATTGACCCTCGTATAAATGTTCGGGAGGAACAATATGTGTTGACTACAAGTCAAGTGAATGGAGAAGCCAAACTAAAGATGAACTTCTTTTGCAATTATATCCTTCTTCTTTAAAGGTTGTCACTTGCGAAACGTAGACGAAGCTGCGGGGGAAATTGGGCAGACCTTTCCCGGCAAGAATAGAAGAGACGGTGTCCGATCCGTTTCGCATGGCAAAACGCGTCTTCGTATCGAAACCCCGCTTTGGTTTCTTCTTCTTCTTTGAAGTTTTCTCGAATTCTCACATGTCACATGAGATACACCAAACACGTTCATCATTCTCATTCTCAAAAGCTCAAGTTTTCCCCACGACGTAACCTTCGATACAACCGATTTGGAGTGACTTTTACTTCTATTTTATTTTTGACTTTCTTTCGAATCCGGTGGTGCAATCATTTTGACCTTTTCTTTTAAGTTAAAAATTGTCTTATATAAACACGTAGATACTAGATACACATACAACATGTGCGTATGGCTAATATGACGCGGAATCTATTAGTGGTGCGTTTCTGGACCGATTGGACAGGCAGAAGTCCAAACGGAAGGCGAAACGGTGATGCGACTAGAACCGGCGGACCCGATCGACGACATCGGATATTTTTTTATGAGTTAATTTAAAAAGGCAGTTTTCTAATTTTGATGTTTTACGCTTTCCAATTTTAGTAGGGTTATAATTTTAAAAAAAGGCAGTTTCCTAATTTTGATGTTTTACACTTTCCAATTTTAGTAGGGTTATGTTATAGGTATATAAGCTTGTTTAAGGGTTTATTTTGACATTCAGAACATTATTATCATCAATATTGAATTTCGAGATTTTTCTCTCTAAGCAAGATTTTGCTTGAATTATTCGCTGAACGCTGCGTCATAATACTTAAGAATTCGACTGCAAAGTGAAAAGGAAAGTGTCGACTTTTTAGAATTCGAAACAAACAAAACCCCTATCTTGATGCCTGACCTTTTCAATGTGCAAATGTCCCGTTGGGTCTCGGCATTTGGTGGTGGTTATCGGAAGTCGAGCAAGGACCCCTTGAGGTTCACACATGAACAAAGCTAGACTATATATGCACACGCTACGCGCGGGCTCAATTATCATTATGCATATTTTAATGCGAACTTTATGACTTAACATATCGTAGTTATCTATGTAATTTTAATGCACCAAGCAATTAATAATAATAATAATAGAATGATGATAAGAATCGGAGATAATACGAGAAGAAAAGAGGAGGATCTTACGTAACCATCAAAGGTGTGGGGCAGATTAATTAGCTAGATAGGAAGTGCTCTATAAAATGGGACTTTTAACTTTTTTGCCATTTATTG